ATTCTTTACGTGGGTGTGAGATTCAATTACCAGGGCCTGAATTTTCAACTTGCTTTTACAGCTTTAAATCTAAAGCGACGTGAAAGGCAGAAGCCATTGTCAAGAGTGGGAGGACAAAAAAATAGAACAGCACTTGCAGCTTCGAGCCGTCTAAATGTAGGCCAGGCCTTGACCGTAGGTCTCCGTACAGAACGTACAAGCAGGCTGCGTGAGAGGGGGTAGTCTAAAGCCAGCCACAGGTACTAAAGACCAGGCTATCTATGGGTAGCTCGTTTAATGAAAGTTTCTGCATTGGAAAGCTGGAGACCTGGGCCCAGAGAAGAATCACTTCATTTGTAGCACCCCTTGCACCCCCAAAGCGCTTTAGAGACATAGAGGAATTGCTTTAACCACCACAGGGGTGAAACACCCACCAGCCAGCAACACAACACAACCACTTGGGCTGGAAGAGAAACAGTCCTGCATCTGTGTGAGGGGGTTGTAGGCAGGTAGGTGACATGACCCATATGGAAGCTGTCCAGCACTTAAGGCCTCCCACTGCTGCTCCTGCCAACATGTCTCAAGAGTTTTAGTGACCTTAAAGACGGAGGAGTTTCCATTTAGTCCCACTGGAGCCACGATACCTCCAGCAGCACAGACACATATTTAGCATTAACTCAGAGGGAAGAGAAGTGCCACCTCTTAGAGGGCGCCGGTACAAGCTCTGACCTAGCCCAGCCCTGTTTAGCGCACCTGAACTAGTGAGAATTACAGCCCCCAGTGCAAATGCTACAGGGCAGCCACCCTTCCTTACCACTGGCCAGGAGATCCACACAAAGAGACGTTTCTTTGAAGCATGGTTCTGCCCTGAATTGTGACTCCAGAACAAAGCCATGATGGGGCCCTATGGCTATTGCCCTTCAGTGATTTCACATCAAATGGGATCCGTTTATATACGAAAAAATATCTCCCTTTTAACTACAAACCAAGCCCAGGATGTGAGAGACATACTGAGCCCTACACATCTCATGCAGCATCACCAATAAGAAAGACGCTGCAGGCCAATTCCTGTCCTCAGAACACCTGCGCAGCCTGATCAGCCCTGGGGGGGGTTTGCACAGTTGTAACTGATTGGAGTTTAATAAACCATTCTGATTCAGGATACTACCCAGCTGACCCCCTTAGCAGGGTCACCAGGAAAGAAAAAGGATGCACTTAGTTTTGTCCCTGCAGCCTTCACTCTGACACACCCAGGGAGCAGAGCTGCCAAGTGAGAAGGGGCCATTATTACAAAGCTACTTCCCAGAGCAGAGCCAGGCTCTTCTGCTGCTGCTGTCTCTGTGAACTCATCTGCATTCAGCATGCATCTCCAATGCCCACCATTGCTCTCCAAGCAGACCTTCTCTTCCTGCTCCTGGGCCAGATCCACAGCTGGCAAAGCACCACTGGCTTCAATGGAGCTAACTGATTTACACCAGCTGAGGATCTGGCCTGTTGTTCGTAGGGCTTGTCTTCACTGCAGTGTTAGCTTGAGCTATAATGTGAGTGCTGCCCTCAATGCAACTTTCATCCACACACATGAGTCTCTAGCTTAAGTGAAGTGGTGCCGTCAACTCCAGCTAGCTGGCCTGGCAGGGGTGTGTGATGATGACTGAGAACCGCCGACACTGGGGTGGGAAAGTCCCAGAGATGAGCTCTAGCCCAAGCTCAGAAGTCTACCCAGCAGTGAAACAGCCCCGCAAGCCCAAGTCAGCTGGCACGGGCCCGTGTGGGTTTTTCTTTGCTGTGCAGACAAACCCACTGTGCTCCTAATCCATTCATCCAGTGTTGTTTGGCAGTGACCGCTCTCACTTGAACTGGGATTGCTCAAAAGGAGAGAACTTGACCTAACACTGCAGTGAAGACTGTGGCTCAGCGGCCTGAGAATTGGCTTCTTGGAAGGGCTGTTTTCCAGCCAGCAGCTTGTCTGTTGTGTCACACGCGGCAATAAAAGACCCATGGGGCTGAGTCTCAGAGCCTGGGTCACTTGACTTGGGTTCACGGGGCTGCAAAGAGCAATGTAGACATTTGGTCTTGGGATGAAGTCCAGGCTCTGCACCCCGACAAGGGGGGACAGCCTCAGAGCCTGGGCTCCAGGCCAAGCAGGATCATCTACACTGCTATTTTCAGCCCAGCAGCCCAACCCATGTGAGCCCAAGTCAATTGACGGGGGCTCTGAGACTCAGTGCTGTGGTAGACATCCCCATACTCCTCTTGACTGGAGACCTGACGGAGAAGGAACTGGTTGCTGGGGCTTGAATTGCTTTCTCAGAGCCCTGAAGAGGCAGCACAGACTTCACAGCTGCACACGGCCCTCCTCCCCACTCACCTTCCTCAGCAGAGACCAGCGTGACTTAGTTTCCCTTTTGATGCTGCTAATTGCAACACGCTCTCACTACTTCCCAGTGCATCGCTCCAGTCCCCCCTGCTTCACCATCTGTGGCTGCTGAGACACAGTGACAGTGAATCACTCTCCCGCCGTACACGTGCTATAAAGAAAAGCCTTGTCCTTCCCACCTTTCTCTGGAGACAGGGAATCAGCCTGCCTCAGGCTGCTGTAATAAAGCTGTTTAAATACGTCAGGATGTTTCACTCAACACACAAAGTCTGAGGTTTCCAGTAGGGCCGGTGTATACGGAGCCCAACAGGGGTTTACATTAAGGCCTCTCGCTGTAAGTATTGTAGATGGAACATCTCCAACCAACAATGGCTTTTTGAACAACCCTTTAAATCTAAGAGATGAAACCGTGCAATGGATAGATTTCAAGCTGACACCTCCCAGGCACAGCAAACGCGGGTTGCTACCCATTTCCCTGGCCTCACACTGATTGAGGGCGGTGCAGCAAACTATTATAATCTTGCACAGGCCACCTGAGGATCCAAATGATCTTTCCTCTAAAGACTTTATTAGGAACTGTTTTCTTTGTTCTGTCTAGCAGCCAAAGGAGGAAATGGCTCAGGTGACTTTTCAGGAAAGCAGGATGTCTTAAAGCAGGGGACTTGCAGTCAGGAGACCTGGGGTTTTATTCCCGGCTCGGTTGCTAACTCACTCTGTGACTTTAGGCAAGGTACTGTCTGTGCTTTGGTGTCCACATCTGTCAAATGGGAGAAACGTTACCTGCCTCCCAGGGTGTGGTGAGGCTGAATTCTCTAATGTCTGCGCAGCGCTTTGAGATCCTTACACAGAAGGCACTGGAGGGGCGCTATCTAGTTCCTGAGGGACTAGGAAGAGGGAGAGATTCAGTGAGATGAAGGAGCAAAACAGAGTCAGAGAGTGAGAGGCCAGCAGCAGCCTCCAGAGAAGATCAGCTGCAGCCAGCACATCCATTCGTGGTTTACTCTAGCTGGGGGACTTGGAGTCACACAAATGAATCAGCCATTCACTGTATTCAGATAGCAGCATTGTACCGGGGGACAAGCTGCAATGCCCGACGGGAAATGCTGGGCAAAAGCATGGCCGGCCCCCCAAAGACCCAGACTCTCTCTGCTGGTTTCAAGAAGGAGGCTACAGCAGTGAGACGTGGACAAACTATCTGCAGAGGTAGGAGCTCCTTCGACTTTCTATGCCTTGTGTCTGTAAGCCGTCTGGTCCAGCAGGCCAGAGGAGGAACACACCCACTTCTGCATCATTGTTCTCTCCTGGGAATTTAAAGCACTGATCCATTGACCAGCTCTGGATGTCCCAGCATCAGCCCCAATCTCTACTTTTCATGTTCCCCACATTGAATGGACCCAGGTGACATGGGCTTGGAAATCTGTGGGATGGCAGGTTTTTCTGAATCATTTCTGTGACTAGTGTGTCCAAGGCTGCTTTCTCTGCAGACATGGTCACCGGGGCAGAAGCATCTCCAAATACCAGGATGAACCATACAGCAGAAAGAATTCGCTGGGGAGAGGACGAGAGAACACACAACATGGGACAGATGTGTAGGCATGTTATTTAATGCACTACTGGAAGACGTTCAGATTCTACTGTGATGAGCACAGTATAAGGCCCTATATAGCAGGGATGGGCAACTGGCGGCCTGGGGGCCACATCCAGGCTGCCAGGTTATTTTATTTGACCTGCCCCAGACCAGCTCAGAGCTGGCGATCCAGCAGTGCCTTCTGCCCACCGGAGGGCAGAACCTGACACTCTCCCCTCCCCCGTCACACCCCTACATCACACCTCCTGGCCCACCAGTGGGTTTTAATGAACTTGTGGCCCTCTGCTACCTTAAAGGTGCCCATCCCTGTTATATAGACTAGACTTCGTTTCTCCCCACCTCCTGTGCGGTCTAACCAGGCTTGTATCAGTGCATTGTGGGGAAATCTGAGCAGCTCTCCCATAGTGCCCCAACATGAGATAGAGTCCAGAGCACCGCTAGCAGCAGTGCATTGTGGGATGCCCTATTGCACCATGAACTGAGCTGGAGCACGACCAGCTGAACTGGTTACGCCAAGCAGATTAGAGTGGAATTAGAGTGGCCAGAGTGGAAATCAACGTGTTAAACTGGTTACAGGGATACGGCCTGGCGCCAGGCTAGCCCTCTGTTCGGAGGTAAAGACCGTCAGCTGCTTTGGTTGCTAACCGCATTCGAACCCTGCTGCTGATGCTCCACACAGTCAATTCGAGTCCCCCCAGCTGGGTTGTGCCCCGACACGCACAGTCCCAAGTATCAGACTCACACACAGGCCCTGCTCCAGGTAGACTTTGTTAAATCACAGCGATACGTAGCAGGCCTCAATCAAGAGCAGGGCCCCTGCGTGCTGGGGCTGAACACACACATAGCAAGAGCCAGTCCCTGCCGTGGAGAGCTTCCCCCTTTTGTCTGTTTAGCGAGCGAAGGGAAAACAGGGACCCAGTGGGGAAGGCACTTGCCTGAGGGTGCAGCAGAGCCAGGAGCCAAGTTTCCTGAGGCCCAGCTGAGGGCTGTGTCCCCTGGGACACACTGACTCTCCAAACGTACCATGGGACTCAGCATGCTTCACAGGTGCTAGATCCACGTGTCCCACGGGCCTGCCCTAGCCCCAGCTGGCCACAAGCTTCGCCATCCCACACAGGCTCAGCGCGCCACAGCCAAGATGAACACAGCAAGAAGGGGACATGGTTCCGGCTCGGAAGAAGGGCAAGGAAGGAGGAATTAGGGCCTGCCAACAGGGGCGAGGTGAGATGAGAGGGGGAAGGTGGCAGGGCAACACTGACGGGGCGCCTTCCAAAGCGCGATGGCAAAGCCATTTAGCCAGAGCAGAGCACGCATACAGTGCTGTGCACACTGCCCAGCTTGCCAGGGTTGATAAGTGTGGTGCAATGGGGCCATCTGCTGGAGACCAAGCTCTGGGATCCCACTTGTTATGGAGAACGTCAGACAGCTCTGCACAGCTGCAGGGTTACATCTCTCCCCTTTACTACCGCGCCGGAGGGAGCCAGGCCACCAGGACACCTTAGTGCAGTTACAAGGTGAGCAATTAGAACAGGGTTTCTTTGAGCTGGGTGCCAAGGCAGATCACTTACCTACCAGTCCCTGAGACATCACGGACACATCCCAACAGCTTAGCTAAACTGAGGATACCTGGGAGTGCTTGCACCGGCAGCACACAAAGCATTCTCATGGTCAGCATGAATGTTCAGGAGCTAGCATCCCATCTGGTCTGCACTGGGAGGGCGCTACTGTGGGGACGCTCACCCTGCTGGCGTCCCAGCTGGCAGATGGGGTGCTGTCATGAGGAGGCTGCTAAGCAGTGCTTCTAATAAACCTCTGTGTATAAAGCGCGGCCCGCAAGAGGGCGGAGCCCCAATCTCTGTAGTTCAGGAGCTAATTTCTGTGTACGCATTAGGAAGGGCATGGGTCTATGTGTGGTTAATTAGCAGCTGGATGCAAGGACATACCATCTGTACTGCCTGTTTGTTATGAGAACACAGGACCTGCCAGATGGGAGTAGACCTGGGGGGAGGGATAGCTCAGTGGTTTGAGCATTGGCCTGCTAAACCCAGGGTTGTGAGTTCAATCCTTGAGGGAGCCATTTAGGGATCTGGGGAAAAAATTGGTGATTGGCCCTGCTTTGAGCAGGGGGTTGGACTAGATGACCTCCTGAGGTCCCTTCCAACCCAGATATTCTATGATTCTATCTAGCCCAGTATCCTGGCTCTGCTGTGGCCATCACCAGATGATTCAGGGGAACGTGCAATAAACCCTGCGGTAGCAGCTATGGGATCACCCTATCCCACGGAAAGTTCCCTCCTGATCCCTAATTTCTAGAGTGTGGCTCATGCCCTGAAACTGGAGGGTTTGTATCCTGTCCAGAACTCCTTTATGTTCAGTTTACTCTGGATATCCACAGAAACATCCAATCCTTTTCTGAATCCTGCTAATCTCTTGGTCTCACTGAGATCCTGTGACAGTGAGTTCCACAGGCTAACTGTACCTTTGTTACACATCAGAATTCACTTTGCTCTTTGCATTCAAAAATCCTTATAAAAATCCCTGGCCATGCTGTCCTCGTCATCAAGGCTTTGCCTCTCTCCTCCCACTCCAGGCCATTTCCTTTCCATCTGTTGCTTCTCTCATTCATTTTCTCTCGCACCGGGAAGCCTATGATACAGTAATAATCTCATTTAGCTTTTTCCAGCCAGCGTGACATCCATACAGCTGCTTAGCTGATCTCCCCAGCAGCCAGTGTACCTGAGAAATGACTTCCCGAGGCTGCCTGCCCCACTGCAGCCAATTCCATTTCCTCACGGCCTGCCTTCTGGCCTCATGTCTGCAGGGTCATCTGAGCTCCCTTGAGCTGTCTGGGGCAGGAGTAGGGCTGAGCCATGTGCCCATCAGCCCTGTGAAAATGGGTCGTCACACCATCCCCGTCACACTGGACTTCACTGCCGTGTGCACCTGCTTTCCAATTTGGCAGGATTAATCCTCAGATCCGTGCAGCAATGACTGGGCAATTGAGAACGGAGAAGAATTTCCTGTTGCCAGCAAAGTTAATGTAATCTCCCCTGCAGGCTGGCCTTAGGTGCCCACGGGGACTGCACCATCAGTCACCTCCCCACAGTCCGCCTGTTGCCAAATGTGCTTCCTTTACAACAGCTTTCAAATCCTCTCCAGCCACTGGCATTGCACCTCCTTAGCTGCCTGGCTTCAGTTCCCAGCTCCACCTCAGCTAGCTCCCTTACCTGCGCTGTGCCTCAGTTTTTGCAAAAGAGGGAGGGGTTAATAGGAAGCTCCCTCACAAGGATTTGAGAATCAACTCATTAACATATGTGAGGGGCTCTGCTTCTTGTACGGATCTGGCCATGACCATAGCATCAGTCATGATTTTTAATGTATTTATCCTCACACCACCACTGTGCGGTAGGACACTGCTGTTATTCCCATTGTACAGAGGGGGAAACTGAGGCACAGAGCAACCGAGGGACTTGGCCAAGGTCACCCTGTTTCAGAGTCTGTGGCAAAGCAGGAATTGACCATTGGTTTCCTATGACCTAACCACTGGCCCACCCAGCACCCTACTTTAGGTGACAAATAGAGCAACATATTTCTGGGATGATTTTTTTTTCCTGGAAGAATTTTAAAACGCAGTGAAATGTAGGCAATTCAGAAACATTTTCTCAACTGCCTCGTGGCCACCTTGCCACCCACAAATAACACGCCCCTGCAAGCAGCAGCACGGAGAAACCAACTGTTTAGTTGCATCTCTGGGTTAATCTGTGTTTTCGTTATTCAACTGAGTCCGCTGGAGACTCAGGACAACCCCTTCTGGCTGGAAGTTATGCTGCTAAACCCATAAACCCTGAAGAAGCAGCCTGGTTGCCTGGAGTGATGGACGCCCTGCGCTTCCATGTGCCTCGTTTGATTAGCTCTCTGCCGCATCCCCAAAGCTCAGCCCACACCCATCAGCTGCCTCGGCCTGCCCAGCATCTATTTGACTGTGGGCCAGGTCCACTCGGCTCCAGCGCCTCTCCAGTCTCATCAGCTGTTCTCTTGGGGAACCACGACCTGTGCAGGCCTCCAGGGAGCCTGCGAGTCAGGGCATCAGGAGCACCCAGGGGGAGGGGCAGAGAGATGCTCAGTGGGGCAGTTTGTGTTAAGGGGGGCAGGGGATGTGTAAGAGCCAGTCATTGCTCCATCCTGGCTTTGCATCACTGCTTCCTTCCTCCTGTGCCCAGGATGACGAGGGGGGTCAGCTCTGTGGCTCCCTTTCCTTCCTGTCTAGTAAGAGGAGAGCCAAGGTGCAGCTCCCACGCAAGCTGTTTTCCTTCCTTCCTGTTTTACGTCCCTCTGAGACCCTCCAGTCTGGCTTCCGCTCTCTCCACCCCACTCAGACTGCTCCCCAAGGTCCACAGCGACCTCTTCAGGGTGGGGCCTGGGGCCCAGACTCTGTCCCACATCTCCCTCGCTCGCTCTGCAGCCTGTTGATTGTTCCCTCCCTTTAGTTTGGTTGCCTCTCCCTCCCTGGCTTCTCTTCTAGCCTCTCCTTTTGTCTCTTCTCCTCTCCCAGGTTCCTCTCTGTTGGTGTCTCTCAGGGCTCTCTGTCGCTGGCCTCTCACCTTCACCCCTGTGGTGGGCTTGGTGCCTACAGCACGCTCTGCAAGCAGCATTTCAGATGTCCCGGGCTGGGTGCTGTGCTCCAGGGCAAGGGAAGAGAGTGACTGAGAAATAAGTGGCGTTATGAGTTTTCTGTGAGCCAGCCTAGCTGTGGGAGGCCTCCATCCTGCAGCCTCCTTAACCCTGGGCCACAACGTCCCACTTCTGCAACGCTGCTTCAGCAGTGGAACAATCTCAGGAAATTTTCCCCCCTTTGCCTGGCTGGGGCCATGGGACACTAATGCGAGAAGCCATTGATTGGAGCTCTGTGAGCCTGCAGTGCCCATACATCACCTTTTGTCCTCAGACACCAGCTGTCACATGCACCCTACAAGCATCGGCTGTAACGGTTGGTCACACGAGGACTTTAGCTCAGCTGAAGCAGGGCAATCTACAACGGATGGGAAGCTACACGTCCGGTACTGCCCCAGTCTGACAGAACAGAGCCTGGTGTTTTCAAACAACCCACAAGCCACTGCTCCCAGCACCATGGCATAAGGGTTTCTGAAGCCCTGGGCCAACGGGATCTCCATGAGAGCTCTGCCAACAGCAGCCCTCAGCAGGTGGATGCTGCCAGGACAAAGCAAAACAAGCAGCCTACGCTATCCCCTCCCCCGCAAGCCTTTCCTTCCCCAAACGGGGAGGACACTGGAGGTGTGTCTGCCGCTCCTTGGACTCAGGTGGATGCCAATCAACATCCTTGTGCAGCAGGCACCAGAAGGAACCAGGAAGTGGAGGCCAGGGAGCGCAGCTTACTGCAGAGGGGAGATCGGCTGGAAGAAGCACTCGGAAAGGGTCCCAAGGTAAACACTCCTTTCAGGAAGCTGCCTCTTCGGGGGGGTGGGGAGGTATTTGCCCCGGGGGGTCATGCTGCTCAGCTAGGGCTACAGTTCTGGGTCTGTCTCAGAGGCGAGTTTGGGGAACTGAAGTTACTTCCTCATTCTGGGAGCTCTCTGCTCACCAGGAGCCAGCTGCTGCAGCCAGCTCTGGGGTTACAGATCCTCAGGAATTAAGGGTCAGGGCCAGCCAAGAGGCCGCGGAGGTGAGCCCAGGGATAGGGTGAAGACTGGTCTGAGGGCGGCCGCTGAGAGGGCTGGGGCTGCTAAAGGGAAATCCTGACGCTGCAAAGAAAAGGAAATGAGGGAACCTCTTCCAGGGTGGGAGCCACTGCAGGGCCCAGTGGGGAGGAAGTGCCAGGGGGGTTGCAGTAGCCAGGGCCTCAGAGTGTGGTGGGATTGCGGGGTGCTCCATAGCTGTACGGTGCTCTGTCCCTGGGGAATTAGGAACCCCGGGCAGGATCTCACTGTTCCAAGGAGCTTCTGCTGCCATAGGCCTTTGGGTCAGGAGTAGCGTTACCATATTTGAACATTCAAAAAAGAGGACACTCCAAGGGGGGGGTATTTGCTTGCGCACCCCCCCACCCCAACTCCACCCCTTCCCTGCCCCTATTCCAACCCCTTCCCCAAAGTCCCCACCCCAACTCCACCCCCTCCCTGCCTCATTGGACCCCTTCCCCAAATCCCGGCCCCAGCCCTGCTTCCTCCCCTGAGTGTGCCGCATTCCCTCTCCTCCCCCCTCCCTCCCAGCCGCACGAAACAGCTGTCTCATGGTCCAAGCGCTGGGAGCTGGGGGGAAAACTGCTGGAAATGCTGCTAAGCAGGGCTGGCCGGGGGTCTTTGGCTGGGCCTGAGAACCAACTACCCCCTGCCTGCAAATCTGATTGCTGCCCTCCACCCCCTGCTGCAGACAGGGCTGGGCTGAGGGGAGGGCCGGTGAAATGGTTCGGGGCGGGGACCACCCCAAACTGTGTGCGTATATGGGGGATCTTTAGATTCCCCCACTCCTCTCTGCTCAGCTGCTGGCTGCGGAAGCAGAACCCAGCGACTGTTTCCTTTCTGCCATCACAGTCAGCCATGTTTTCAAGGATCTTTCCAAGGAAAAAGGGCTAGAGACTGAATTATTTGTACCTGCAAGCTGAGATTATCTTTCATGGAACCAAAGGCTGGGCTTCCTAACAGAGGGCTCGTGCAGCTCCCCCAGGCTCATCAGCATACAGAAAGAGCATTCACTTCCCCTGTGCTGAAATGCAGCCTCCTCTGGAGTGGAGCTCTGGCTCTCTCTCACGGCAGCACCATGCAACCATGCTAGAAGGGGAAGCAAGTGCTACCCTGCAAGCTTTCAGCAGGGAGGATAGAACCACACTCTGCTTGTACTTTGAGCCTCACAGCAGCTGGGCAATGCCAGAAGCAGTTTCACTTGGCACAGACGTATGTATTTGTCACCGACATGTAGGGCCTCTGGCTTTCAGCAGCTGCACATGATCTGGAATGCACTTTGTGCTAGGTTTATTTCTGGTGCCTCTTAGCACTCATTACCATCTGAAAGTGACTAGGGCAGTGACTTCAAACACACAGGCCAGAGCTGGCCTCTCTGACATGTTCATGGGGCAGCAGGGCACAGTCCAGATTCAGCGCCCATTTATAGATGTATAAAAAATATTCTAGCCCCCCTGGTTGTAACATTCACCGTGCAGACAATGAGGCAGCGGTGAACTGATGCAGTGCTGTCTTCCTGAGTCTGCAAGCAGCCTGAAGCAATGTCTCAGTTTCACCTACAGCAGGAGTGTGTTTTTGTCATCAGCATGTATGGCGTTTGCTCTAGAGCGTAATGACGACACTTTACATGTCAACATTTGCTAATTCACTGCTGATCATTGTAGCAGCTGGAAAAGGGGAAGGAGTGGGAGGGGAGCTCAGGGGGAATTGGATGTTATGGCTAGAAGAGGAGTGCAGAGGGGGACAGACACAAAGACAGGGCAGGGGGAGAGGGAGAGAAAGGGGAAAGGAAGAGATACAAAGGGCAGAAATAACAGTGATCCTGATGGCGGCCATATTCCCCCACTGAGTGATGCTGACTATCCTGGGAAGTCTTTGTGGCACCCTCCCTCCGTTATAGGTGGTGCTCTGCTGTGGATTGAGGCACGCTATGGAATCCTAGATTAGTACCTCTGCCCTCTCCAATTAATCAACATGACAAGCCTGGACGAGGGGTGCCAAAACCTGTGAGCCTGTTTTCAATCGAGATTAGCTTTGCAAGAGAAAGGGCTAGGCGTGGAGAGCCCCTGGCCAGCAGCTCCCAGGAGCTGTGGGAAATTGGCCACTGCTGCTGGTTTGGAGGAAAGTCCGCAGTCAGGTCCTGTCCCTACATTCAGCAGGGGGTTCAGTCTGAATTGGAAGCAGAGAGCCAGGCTGCACGGGCTTTGCTGCCATAGGCAAACTAGGAACTAACCCTCCTACTCCCGTCATTACATTCTGCTACCTTAAGGCATTGCCCTGGGATGGGAGAGCTGCCATTTTCCTCAGCCACGTCCATGCACTTAAAGCGCATGGCTTTAACACAGTGTCTGACAAACCAACGTAAGAGGAAACATTCACAGTAACTACATATTTGCACGTATCTATATACACACCCACATCACCCTAGTATCTGAACACCTCGAATCATCCGTGGGCGATAGGTCAGCATTGACCTCTTTTTACAAGTGGGAAAACTAAGGCACAGACCGATCTAGGACTTGCCCAAGGTCACACAGGGAGGCTGTGGCAGAGCCTCAGTTCAGTGTTTAATCACTAGCCCAGCGCTGTTCTTCTGCTCTCCAGACTTCCCCTTTACTATCGATAGTTTCCAGCGGGCACCATACCCCTTTAAGCTTTGTTATCTCTGGATTCCCCCTCTGGCTCAGGACAGATCCCTGATAAAGGACAGAGCAGCAGACTTTCACGAGTTGGAATCAGTGTGAAAATGGTTTCTTTCCCCGCAGTACATTGTAGGTCAGTAACTAAACGGAACAGGGACTGGCCTGGCCCACAAAGGGTGGTTTGCTATTTGGTTTGAGTGTTTCTAGCAGGTCATGCCTCCCACTAGAGAGAATGCAGCTCTGGTGTCAGGCTGCAGCCTTGGGAACTACAGGGGCTTGTTTGAGACTCGCTGGGCATATCCCTAAGAAATCCGGGCAGGTTTCCCAAACTGCACCACATGGCTTTGCCTGCATGACATTGGCAGAGCAGAGAAGGATTCCTTGTTTCTATCCCTCACACTTCCACACCCCCTTAGAGTGAGAACACAGGTACTGCAGCGGATCAGCCCAGCGCTGTGGAATCAATAGTATTTCCGTTTAGCAATGGGGCAGCTTCCAGGATGCAAAATAGCCAGCTTTTTGGTTCAGATTGGGAAATATGAATGACTGCATCTTTGTTTCTCATGCTGCAGGCTGCCTGGGTCTCTAGCACACTGCTCCCATGCTGCTGCAAACATTATAACGGAGTGTGTGTGAGAAATTCCTTCCAGGCTCCTTAGCCTACGCACCGCCAAAGGAGCCACTATCCTGTGAGCTCTGGCTGGGCTCAGCTTTACTCAGGCCTTGCGAAGTTAGAAGAGTTTGTTTGCTTTCACAGAGCTGCTCCTGCATCTTTAACTGGCCTGACTGGCATTGTTTGAAATGTTGTGTTGTGCTCCCAGCTCTGGCTGGCTGGAGGGAACCAGCAGGCATTTGGTAAACAGTGCTGAGGTTTCTACAGGCTGTTCTGTGCAGGTTCTTAGAACATGTCTGTCACTGCGGCATCTGAGTGTCTTTCAGAGCAAGCTGGTTTACAGATGGGGAAACCGAGGCACAAAAAGACAAGTGACTTGTGTAAGGTCACACAGTAAGTTCATAGCAGAGCTGGGACTAGAACCCAGCTCTCCTGACTCCTCCTGGGACTTTCTAACCCACGTATGATAAAGGGATGGCTAGATATTGTTAAACTGCAACAGGAGTGTCTTCTGTGGGGAGGGGTGTCACACCAGCATGACAGTCTGCTTCTAGGCAGGTTATGGTGCAACTTCCTTGTGTGGCCAAGGCCTCAGACATTCCACAGCTCCTGCTGTGATCTGTTACTTGTTAACCCTCTGTGCCCACCCAGCACCACTTCACCCTGGTTAGTCCCGCCTCCCCACTCCAGGGGCTGGAACTCCACAAGCAGAACACACTAGCCCCTTCCCGCCCTGGAGCAGTAGGATCAGTGGCCTGTGGGATGGGGAAGCAAACCCGAACTGCAGCAGTCATCTTGTATGCAGCACCTATGGCCCCCTGTATCAAAGGGAACCAGCAGCCAATATAGGTAAAGCCCAGTGCAGCCAGAGCTAGGGACAAGGTGATCGTGTCTCTCAATGATATTCCAGCATCTGGGGACGGGGAGGCCATTCAGTTGGGGTGAAAAGGTTATTAGTGGCACCAATCCACCCTCTCTCCCTTTGTCGATCAGACCACAGGGGAAACTCTGAAAGAAACCAAAAATGGGATCTGAAAGGCAAAACTTGGGAGAGGAGTTCAGCAACCAGATCAATGACGTCCTGAGCAGACTCGCTACCAAACAGATGTTCCAGTCAGACTGGGACATTGCTGCCTTCGCCATCTTCTTCATCTTCATTGGTAAGTGTGGGGCCAAGCAACGGGCATAGGATTAGCAGCCCACGGCCTGGGGCTGCTCTCTATTCCCAGACAGGGCAGATGAGATACATGTGGGTGTGCTGCAAACCCAGCCACACCATCCAATGCTTATCTGTGCAGGGTCTGTAGGGCTGTTCTAAACTCGTCTAGAGACGCTGGGCACAAGCATCTGGAACTACTGCAGTGGGCGCCTCCAGCAAATTCCAAAGTCTTTGGGGGCAAAGATGGTCTGTAATGTGTGCAGCTTCTAGCCCAACTGGACTAGGGGCCCGTAGGTGCTACCCCTGTACAAACAGTAAGACAATCCATCCACTTGAAGGTCAGAGGGAACCATCAGATCATCCAATTTGATCTCCTGTAGATCACAGCCAGAGACCTCTACTTCTGTTTGAGCTAGGGAGATCTGTTAGAAAGACCTGCACTGTTCATTTAAAGACTTACATGATGGAGAATCCACCACATCCCTAGGTAAGTTGGCCCAGTGGCTCATCACCCTTACGGTTAAAAATCTGCACCTTATTTCTAGTCTGAATTTGTCTCACTTTAGCTTCCAGCCCTTGGGTCGTCATCTGCCTATGACATTAAAAAGTTCCTACCTCCACCAAAGGAAGCGCTGTGTCTGGAGATCCGGCCACCAGACTGATTTAAAACATGGTCTGTGCTGGGGAGTAGATAGAAGGGAACCAGTTTTTAAAACACTGGCCAAACTGTGCTGCTGTAACCCCCGGTGAGTGTTTGTCACAGGTCCCCAGTCAGCAGAGGAAGTGAGTCTGTTACAGCACAGTTAGGAACCTTTAACTCAAGGTGCAGCAGCTTGTACGTTTAGTGCTGCAGATCTCCAGTTCAGTCCCTGGTATGTTGGCCAAGATAGCAGCCAGCAGACTACAGTTCAGGCAAGTCCATCTGCGTAGCATCATTGAGGAACAGTGTTAGAAGTTAGAACAAGTGTTGATCCCAAGTCCAAGCTGTATTTTAGCCCCGAGAGGACCAACATGATGCCAAAGCCTCAGCACGTGTGTGACCGTATAGCAATGCGTACAAGTACGTACCCTCTGCTGACACCTGCGTTACTCCTAGGTGCTGATGAACCATTCAGGGCTAGAAAGGGGAGGAGTGACAGGAGGGAGATGCTCCAGCTCATCACTTGGCTGGCCACAGCTGTGTTTAAACTTACTCCTCCTGGTTTTTTCTCTGTCCAGTGTAGACAGAAATTCCCCCTCCCCCACCTCATAGCGCCATGGTGTGAAGCTATCACAGGGATGGTTTATTGCATGATTCTCAGCAAAACTAAAAGGCCTGTGAGTATGGCCAGAGAAACCGTGCTGGGGATTATCCTGCTTATGGCTGTTGCTAGCATGGTAACACAGAGGACAAGGCTGTGGGGCAGGGCTCACAGAGGGACAGTGCTGTTATTAAGAATGAGTTAAATCTCCAGGCATCATTTCCTTATGCTGTTCCCCTCTGAGGAATAATGCTTGGAAATACGGCCCATGAGATTCACCTGAAAGCCATGACAGATGTCATTAGCAGAGCCGGGGAACCCAGTGCATGCCGTGCACCCACACCTTCAATCATGCAGGCTGTGCATTGTGCAGATGGACAGATGAATGAGTTTGAAGGACGTGGAACCCAGGCAAACACAATCAAGACCTGGGGTCTCAGTGATCAAAACCCTGAAACAGGTCGACACAAACCTGGGGGAGAGGTGAGAGAGAGGTATGCAGGGAGCTGCATTCAGCCAGCACCAGAGCAGATCATGGGTTTGCAAAGGGCTCCCCAAAGGTCTGCTCTGGGAGGAATGGGTGGGAATTATGGCCTGAGGGCCTAACCTCACAGCACTTGTTTATATCAGCAGTTTCAACTTTTAGGTGCCAGTTTAAACTGGTTTAATTAAAGAGGTGTAAAAGGCCGGATGGACACTCTTAATCTGGTTTAAACCGGGTTTAGTTCACGTTAGTTTACATCAGTTAGGAACTGGTTTAAGGTAAACCGAAACAAGCCATCTCTTGAACCCCAATAAGAGTGTCCACACAGGAGCTTAACTAAACTGGTGTAGCTGTGTGTGTAGGCCAGGCTGTACCTGGCTCCCGGAGATGTTGGATTCACGCCTGGCCCTCTCTGCCAATGGCTGTTTTCCTGGTCCTCCATCACTTACTGCGGGGGGTTGAGGAACCCTGGAGATGACGACTGCCTTGGTTAGTGATCTAGAGTCCAAAGATTCCACATCTCCTGTTTCTAGCAATGCGCAGTGGCTTTAACTATGCTTAGGGCTCACAATTCAGCAGCTGCTGTGCACAGGGCATGCTGCCAGCTGGGTGACTCAGCAGCACTAGGGAGCATGCAAGTGTCAGTGAGGTGACAAGGTAAGGAGGAGGCATTCGTGCTGCTGCTCAGAGTATTGCACCAGTCCCAGAAAGGCACCTGAAATGGGCACGTACATTTGATCCTGCCAGAGGCTTGGAGAGAGGCTATGAGACACAGGTCCGACTGACTCTCTAGAAGGTGCAGTCACTGCTGGTGCCCTGACAGATGTGCTAACAGCATGGGAAGGGACCTTAAGTGGACATGATTGCTTGATTCTCCCCCAGGTACTGTGCTGTTGATGGTTCTCCTGGCTCTGATCCATTGCTGCTGCTGCTGCTGCGACTGTGACTCCCGGGGATCACACAAGAAGGTAAAAAAAAAAAAAAAAGTTTGTCTCTCGCGGAGTCCGCTCCTGTGCCTGGCGTTCTGGCACTGGACTCAGGCAGCCAGCTGTCCCACTGCTTATGGCAGAGAGGCAGGGCTCGGCTCTCCTGGATTGGAAATGTTGCATATTCAATTAGCCTTCCCCCCAGCAAACCCCAGCCAGGCTGGGGAGGAGCAGGCCCCCCCCAAGGTTAAAGCACAGCTCAGTCTTGAGGCACAGACAGGACTGAGTCACGCTACAGCCTCGGCATGTCACCTGGCCCTGTCCCATCTGTGCTACGTGGTGGACTTGGGTGGTAAAGGGGCACCTGGGGGTTCTTCACCTTTTGGCTGGGGGAAAGCTGTCTAACCACGGCAGTTGCTGGGGTGGTTCCTGCAGCTTTCTCTGACTGGGGTGGGAAGGAATTTCTTTCCGTGACCTGCGCTTTTCACAGTGCTGTGTGGACAGAAGGGTGGGTGGCCTTATGTTTAAGGGGTTGATCTGGGATGCAAGTTCCATTTCTGGACAAGTCGCTTAGTTGCTGTGTGCCTCAGTTCCCCACCTGCAAAATGGAGATACTTCCCAACCCTGCAGGGGAGCTGTAATGCATTAAGGACTAGGAGATGTGCAGACACAATATGGTGATGGGGGGCCATAAAGGACTGAACAGACACCACCTCCCATCAAATGGTTCTCAGACAAGAAATCCCTGTCCCTGATCATAGTTTCTAGGCCCAACCAAGCTAAACTGGATTCAAACTGTAGTGTGGGCAGAGGCTGGGAGATGAACCCTGCTCCCATCACGTGGTAACTAGAACGTAGACATGTTCTTCCTTTTCACTTTTTTTTTTTTTAAACCACAATTAGGTCCCCAGAAAGAAAGTGGGCATTGATAACAAGGCCATGGAGCCATAGCCCCGCCTCCTCCCTTGGACAGACAGATTCTGGCGCCAATGGGAAAAAGACTCTTCTTTGCTTGCTTCTTTCCGCTACACAGCAATCAACTGCAGATCGGACTGTTTGTGTTAATATTGAGTGCTGGCCTGGTGGGGCCCTGGCCTCACAGCACTGCACTGCACTGGCTCCAGCACTTGTTCTTCCTTCTCTGTGCACAAAGGATAAAGATTAAAAGGAACTCCTACGATGCTGAATAAGGATAGCATCTACAGCAATCTCACATTGTACAATTAGAGCCACTGGTCCTCAAACTACAGGGCAGAAGTTGCTCATCAGCCTAGGGTCAGCGGAGGAAGTCTACCTCCTTGTGGTAGAGTACTGTACATAACAGGGAGTTTATACCTTCCAAGGTCACTACTGGCATCAGGGATTGCAACTAGATAGGCCATTGGGCCGGTCCTGAAAGGCAGCTCGTGTGTGTGTAGTCACTAATTAAAACAGTGCCTCCAGGGACTCTTCCAGGTGCCTGAAAACATCCCTTGCTGGCACCCATCATCTGACACTTCCAGAGTCTGGAAAGGAACATGCCCCAGACCAGAACTGACCATATGGGAAGGAACAGCTCCCCAGAAAGCCCATCCTGGCTTAGCTGAACACAGAGGAGGCGAATGTCTTAGCAGCACTTTCCTATAGAGCCCCCGTTCACACAGGCTCTTGGGTCCTTTTGGCAGCAGCCAAGGAGTTAAATTGCTACCTGCACAGTCCCTGATAGGCAAGAGAACCGTCCATAGAACCAGCTGAAGGAGAACAGGCTCGGGGAGGAAGCACGTCTTGTGTACTGACACGCTGCTGTCTCCATTGATTCAGGAGAAGGAAGACAGAGCTCTGCAGAACCACTGAACTAGGGTAGTGCTGGTGCAGGCCTGATGCTCGGAGAGCCCGGTGTCTGTGTCTGTAACGGCGAGGCCAGGCCCCAGCCAGGGGCACTGGGCTCTAGATCAGGGGGCTCAAGAAAGCCCAAAGAGTCATTTCTTTCCTGCGTAGCTGGTTTTACACAGAACTCAGTGGATGTAATGCACGGTCAGTAGCCTTCTGCTGAGTCCTACGGAGCCAGCAAGCACAACCCATTAGCCAATGACCCTGTCCAGCTCCCTGAGACACCACTTTGTTCAGCAGCTAGGGGAAGGGTTAGAACTCATCACTGTCTCCCTCTGGGAAGAGTACCTCAGGGCTGGGTTAAGTCAGCCTCTCTGCTGTCTGAGACACTGACTCCCCACAGCAGGCCAAGGCAAATAAGAGAGTAACTCGGGCAGTGGCTTGGAAGCCATGGAAAGTGAGGGGGCTTGAGCACTCCAGCTCTGAACAAAGTGCCTGTCAGGGCCTGGCCTCTGCCACTCCCACCCCTCTCTGGTGCTCAGGAACATCCTGAGCATGGCATTCAGGAACAGGCCTCACTTACCCACTGGACTAAGTTTAGACAGGAGCTTGCCTGGCACTGCAAAGGGAAGCCAGAGTCACAGACAGCCTTGCTCTTCTGACTCCTCCTTGAAGCCCTCTAAATAAGAAGTGTTCAGAGAGCACATGGGACTTCAAAGGGACCTGTGCTTCTATTCAGTCCGGACATGTTCTCCTTCATCACAGTACAGTCTGTATGTACGCACCCATTGGCCTCTGCACACCCCTGCAGAGCCTTATTCCATATGGCATAATCTCTGCATTGCAGTAGTATTACACTCTGCCTAGGGAGTGTGTCTAAAAGTGAAGGCCCACAAGGTACATGGCTTCATCTTCCCCAGCCCCTTTCGTACTCACTTTGGCTCAGAGGTGAGCGACACACACAGAAGAAAGGCCTCTTCTCTTTGTGGGCTCGATCCTGTGGTCAGTGAGACCACTGACTTCAGTGGCAGCTGGAGCAGACCCCCCCTTCTGCCCAGCAGGTTTGCTCTCAGACCCAGCTAGCAGCAGGGCACGCTGGAAATACAGGCGTCCCTTTGGTTGGAACATTTATCGATTTCAGCAGCTCTTCTGGCTGACTGGCTCCACTCCCTGGCCACTGACTGGTACATTATAACCCTGTGCTTTGTGTGCTAATTAGAGTCAAGCAGAGGGAGTGTCACACCCTTCCTGCTGGTCAGCTGCTCCAGGGCTTGTGACTGTCTTCTCCCACCCAGCTCTCCGTTTATTCTATGCTCATAGGGTTCACAGGGCTAGTGGCTCAGGGAACCTGAAGGGAGAGTGTTGGGGTCAGTTCAATTAACATTCCAAACAACGTCCTTTGGGGTTTCCCACTGACTTGTATGTTCATAAAACTTTCTAATTTCATCTCTGAATCCAGGAAGAGAGACTCATGATTATAAATAAAAAGCACATGATGGAGATCAGCTAGCCAGGCGTTTTTGTACATTAAACCTCTTGGATACTGTATGTGAGCAGGTACATATGTATACACATAGCATGGGCCCTGGGGTATTCATTTGGCTGGCAGTCTGTCCCTGTTCTATGGGTAATGCTTGACTAACTGCTGACTCTGAGATGCACACAACATGCATCAAATAAACACCTGTCACTGCTTTACATTCCTCTGCTTGGTGATCATCATTCTAAGACCAATTCACAGCGCTGCTCTAGGCCCTCCTGCTAGCCCAACTGTGTCACTGGTGCATGATTCTAGTGCCAGCTAGAATGCCACTGCTGAGAACTTCCTCCTTAACTTTCCCCACCAGTTAAGGCTGCTGACTTCCCCCACCAGCAGCCTTCCCAAGGTCACTTAGAAAGGTAGCAGGCTGGGTTCTAGTGCTCAGTGCCCATGGAGACTGTAACCTTGCCAGTTTCCATGCAGCAAGGACCCAGCTGCTAGGACTATATTGTGAACTATCTAGGAGCAGTGAAGCAGAACTGCAGCCCACCGTGGTTCAGAGACCCCTCCCTGCACACACAATGAGGAAGAACTGGAGGTGCCCTACTAAGGGAAAGAATGAGCTTGCTGGGTGGGAGCACTGATGGAAGATGTTTTACATGTGACACAGACAACCTCCTGCAGGGCCTGGTAATCAACAGGAGCAAACACAGATAGGAGAGGGCAACTTACATTTAATGCTAATCACGTAACTGGGTTCTTTAATCACATGCTCTGCCTGAAAGGAAATTCAAAAGTAAGACAGTCAAAGTTCCGTAGCACTAGGCATTCATCCAGTCAGAACACCTGTTCTCCTTGCACTTGGGGCAGCAAAGAAGGGGATGCTTTCCTACAGCCCGGCAGAGATCTAGCAGCCAGAAAGGTTCCAGCATTTCCCACTGCTGAGGGTTTATACATATTAGTGCATGTGTACAAGTGAACGGCTTTGAGCAGGCACGCAGAATGCTTTTATCTGCACTTCCAGCTTAAACTGAAGATGAGGAGCTAGGAGATTGGGTCTATTTATCCTCACTGTGGACAGCTGGTGAGACATTTATCGTCTCTCTCTCAAACCAAAGAATTTTGGAGGCCATCAAGGGCTTAGTAGGAAGTGTCTCACGTTATGCAGTACTCTCCATTTAGACTAGGGGTGGACAAACATTTTGGCCTGAGGGCCACATCAGGGTTGCAAAACTGTATGGAGGGCCGGGTAGGGAAGGCTGTTCCGCCCCAAACAGCCTGGCCCCTGCCCCCTATCCGCCCCCTCCCACTTCCCACCCCCGACTGCCCCACCCATCCAACCCCCCCCCCCCCTTAGTCCCCTGACCGCCCTCCCGGGACCCCACTCCCTATCCAATCCCCCATGCTCCCTGTCCCAATCCCTATCCACACCCCTGCCCCCTGACAGCCCCCCCGGGACTCCCACACCTATCCAGACCCCCTCCCCCGAACTGCTCCCTGTCCCGACTGCCCCCTGGGACCTCCTGCCCCTTATCCAACCCCCGCCCCCAGCCCGCCTACTATGCCGCTCAGAGCAGCATGTCTGGCAGCTGCACTGCCCAGAGTGCTGCCCGGATGGTGGCATGACTGCGGGGGAGGGTCTGGGGGCTAGCCTCCCTGGCTGGGAGCTCAAGGGCTGGGCAGGACTGTCCCGCAGGCTGGATGTGGCCAGCAGGCCGCAGTTTGCCCACCTCTGATTTAGACAGTGCTACAGATCCAGCCACATTACAGACCACCCTAGTCCAGGAGCCAGCCTACAGCTCCTGTTACCGCTCTCCATAAAGGTCTTCCTAACATACGTGTCTGGTCAGTAGGGAATGGCAGGATGGCTATTTCCCTTAGCCCATGTCTCTAGAACTAAAGGAGGCTATTTCCACCCACAGGAAATAACACATCCTTGGTTGCATGCTACAGGCAAAACTTCCCTGACAAGCTGGCAGCCCACAGCTGGGTTTGACAGCTCTTGGCAATCGCTCTTAGATTATACGCATTAGCTTGACTCTAAAGGGGAGTCACTCACCCACACAGCGTTAAAGATCAGGGATCATCCAAAGATGGAGAAGAAACTTCATTAACTATACACATCCTTTACTGTCCTTGGAGACGTGAGAACTGATGCATGTGCATAGTCTAATTCTCAGCAGGCTGGTAACAGACGCGTGGAGCAGGGCTCTGGTATCGCATACCCAGAGTCAAGAGCACTGCTGGCCATAAAGTTTATTGATGGGAGCAGGTAATGCGTTTGCTATTGTATTGTCACTTCTATGGCAGTGTGGATGCTTAGCAAATCTTTGCTGAACCATTCCCCCTCCACCCACACACAGTCTAAAGCATGAAGGCCTCCAACTTTCACCACCCACTAATAAACCAGTATTTATTTACCCAACACGACAGTATTTATTTATCCAACCTCCTGGGGGGAGGGATAGCTCAGTGGTTTGAGCATTGGCCTGCTAAACCCAGGGTTGTGAGTTCAATCTTTGAAGGGGCCATTTAGGGATCTGGGGCAAAAACTGGGGATTGGTCCTGCTTTGAGCAGGGGGTTGGACTAGATGACCTCCTGAGGTCCCTTCCAACCCTGATATTCTATGACACTCATTGCAAGCAAAGGCGAAAGCAACTGTCTATCCCTCACCACTCCTGAGGCATATATGCATTAGATGTGGAGGAAGCACAGAGCTAGCCTTTGATTCCTCAAACAAGGAGGCTGGGCAATTATGGGGCTGCTGCTGTTACTATCCCCCTTTCGGTTTTGGGGAGCCTCACGAGAGGATGGCATGGAAGGCCTCTGCATCCCATTGAGATATCTGCAGAGCTCCCAGTCCAGTGCAGGCAGAGAAGCAGTGGCTGAGAGCAGCAAACAGACACTTCAGCTTCTCCCTCCCAAGAACAGAAGACCCTAGATGCCAGTTTTCAGTTTCCCTGAGAAGAATCATTGCTAAGAGTCCCCACCGTATGTGGATTGTGTCAGGGGATTTCAGGCTGGCAACAATTCCAGAGACCTTTAACCCTGGAGCGTGTGATGTTGCGGGAGAAAGGAAGCACAGAGGCTACATAGCCATTCTTAGCACATAAGATGAAGGAAAACTCCTGCATCCTGACTCTGACTTAAGGCTGGACCACCTGGGAGGAACCCTCAGTGAGTGCATATGGAGAGGGAGTGCCGCTTTAACTTGGGGAAGGGGCCTACTGAAGCTGAGCACTGGGGAAAGGAGAAGCCATTCTCACCACCACAACCTCGCACCCAGCACCAACCCCTTAGCCCCAGTATAATCCACTCACAGCATCCAAAACTAGCTCTGCATTTTTGCCCTGGCCCCAACTCTTTATGATGGTCCAAGGCAGTTAGGTTACGGAGTGGCACTGGGTAGCTTTTGGGTCCTGGGGGGAAAGAGGTTGAGTGCCCCTGCCCTACAGCACTTGACTTACAACTATTTCCAGACTCTTGCCATGGTCTAGGGTTACCTTCCTCATCGTGATCTTCTAGCACCTGCCTGAGTCTATCCCCACTTCAGTTTCTGCTCATTTCATACTGCACTGTACCCCATATATCCCGCTCTGCTCTGCCCAAGCCTCCCTTTAGCTGTTATTTTGCAGCCATCCTCCCTCCACCCTACCCTGCTGAGCAGTAAGCCAGGCTATTCTAGCTGAGTCACACTAAGCACCTCCAGGAGATATCCTGGCTTACAGAGGTAGTAAATCACTTGTGACCACTAATAATTCTCAGCATGTCCTAGCATTGAACAATGCCTGTAACAGCCACGCAGCACAGCGCTTGGTCTGAGGAACTTTATTTCACAAATATTGACTGGTTATGGGGGTGATTCATATACTGTAGCATCAATAGGTTAGGCAGCTAACAACCACCATCCTTCCACAGGAACAACATAGTCTTGTCTGCAGATCTGTGTTTAGTGTCACCCTGTGGTAGATCATAGAGACTATACAACAGAAGGCCTGGCACAGACGGCGGACAGAGGCTCCGCTCATTCCTGTGCTAGGGAGAGAGAGGTTTATGTGCAAATGGCAAACAGAAGCTACATTCTAACAGACAGAAATAACTGGCTCACCTGGGGCTCAGAAACAAGGAGTAACACACAGTCACATTGGTGCCAGGGAGAAGGAAGTAACAGCTGCAAATAAGAACATCTCAAAATGAATGACAAGAAACATCTGGACAGATGCTGGGGAGGGTTTGGGACAGGAAAGAATGAGTCTTGGGGCCATTCAAAAACCCTGATGGACCATCCTAGGTCACTGCATGAAACAGCATCCTCTTGATCCATGATGTGCTGCACATTAACAAGCACTCAGCCTGCCCCAGTTAGTGTTTGTCTGTCTCGGTCTCTCCCCAGCTCTGTTCATGGTCCAGCAATCCCGATGGTATGTGCAAATTAGATTAGCTTTACTGGCTCATGGTCTTCCCCTCACCCCAACCCCTCGGACATGGTCCACATAACTCATTATGGGCTTGCAAGGTGCAAATAAGTAACATTCCACATGTGACTACGCAGACATGAGCAAGCTCACAGTCCACATCACAGCACTGCGAGGGGCCCTGCTCAGTGCTGCCATGTGTTGAACCCTGAGGTCTGAAGCACAAGCAGCTCCTACAGGTAATGTCTCTGGAAAGCACTGACCCTGGTGTATGGCAGGACACAGGCCAGTGCGACATGGCACTCCTCTCAGGTTGGTACACAGGGGTTTCCTCCTAAGAGGGGCAGGGCAGTAGTGGTCGGGGTCGTGTAGGGTCAAACTCTTGTGGAAGGATTAGTATGGCCTGTAGTTCCAGTAGCTGGAAAACACAGAGATCTGGAAAACAAGGGATAAAACAGGTAGGCCCTTGGGTTCCCTAGATCCTTGTTAAATAACAGTCTCACGTTAAAGCTGCTTCTTTCTGTTAAAGGGACAGCTTCCTCCCCAACCCCACCTCACAGGCCAGAACTGGAAGCAGCTCTAGGGATGAGAGAAGCTGGAAGGAGTCCATGATTGTCTTAGATCTGGGCCCTCACTTGGAGTCAGTAATTCTCCGATCTCTCTCTGGCCAGACCCCTTCCAAATCCCAGGAGCCCCCTCTATTTTCTTTCACATCCCTCCCTTTAACTCAGAACAATGGCTGCTCCCAGCTCAAGGGGGCTGGGCAGAGCTCCTTTCTGGGCAGAGCTCCTTTCAGCCAGTGGGATTTCTGGAGAGTGACATTCCCTTCATACCTCCCCCAGAGCGTACACAGCCCAAGCCAGGAGCAACGGGCCACGCTTGAATCCTAGGGACCACAGGCGTATGCCTCAGCAGTGATCCAGAACCAGTGCTACCAACAGTCTACTGGTTCTTGACAGGTTTACACGGATCCTGCCAGAGTGTTCTAGCCCTGGTTATATAAGGAGTGGTTCCTGGTTCCAAGTTCAAGAGCCGTTACAATGGGCCAATTATTATTTGTTCCATTTGTCTATGGAGCCATAGTTGTGCATAGTGTTTTACACAGAGAGTGTCACTGCCACAGGCTTCATATAATGTACAGCAGATACACACCAGACCACCGAGCTCTTACATGGCACTTCTCAACCAAGGAGCTCAACGCACCCTGCAAAGGAGGGAAAATATTATCCCCATCGCCTAAGGTCACGCACCAGATAAGTGGAAGAGCTAGGAACAGGTCTCAGATCCTCCCGAGTCCTTGTCTGACCACACTGCCTCTCCAGCAGCTCTGAACCTCTGGCCCCTCATCTCAGTTTCTCAATGTATGGCCACGGTCCTTAGCCCAGGAATACATATTTCTGAAACAGCATGACTAGTCCCTCATATGACCTTGTGAACGAGTTCCCCCTTCTGCTCCTGGAAACCCTGACTGTTAAGCCCTCCTGATGAGCTACACAGCACATACAGTCCACACCGGGGTACCTTCGCCAAGTGTCTTTATTATTGTTTTTTCCCTTGTGCTCCAAGTACAACATAAACATAGCAGCAGTTAAAGGGAGCCCCCATCCCCAGCCCAGCATTTCGTACTGTTTGCCTTCTCCCTGGCATTCAGCTGGTGAGCTAATTACCTCATCCGGTTCTCTACAGGTGCAAGTGACACTTCTAACCTTGCAAACCACCTCCAAAGTGACCAGGCTGCTGGATTCTAAGGGGCTCTCTCTGCAGCTGCTAACAACACCCTGTTACTAAATCTCACCCAGTTATTCGGAATTTTAACTAGCCTCCTGCTGCGTAGCACCTACCATTCGTCAGCTCCATAGCAACAATTTTTCATTATTTCCCTGAACATCCTGTGCCATCAATACACAGAACAAATTATCTCGTACTGCATACTGATCTCTGTGCCAAGCACTCATGGTCAAAACCATTCCAGCTCACGAGAGCACCTAGGTAACTAATTTGAACAGGTTTGAAACCCTTTAAAAGCAAAGGGAGCCCGCTACTAACAGAACTCCTGCCCACGTCCCTACCTTGTCCTTCAGCTGCTGGCAGAGCTGCAGAGAGACCGTGAAGAAGACAAGGGCGTCATTTAGCCAAGGTACCACACACTCCACTTTATGGACGTGGCTGACTTCATATCTTTGGCTGCCACACTCACTGCAAAGAGAACACACCACAGCTGCTCACAGACAGGGCTCCATGGACTCTGATAAATCCAGGGGCCACACTAGCTAAGTCAGGGTTGGACTGTAAATTATAGGTGCATGTAGTGCTCATGAGAGTGAGGCTTAGTGTGCTAGTTAGCAGACAAATGCTACATAGCTTCCCCTCCACTGTTCTGCCAAAGCACCTTTCCCCAACAGTCCAGTCCTAGATTAAGCAATAGAGATGACAGACTGGGAAACCTATCCACTGTAGGCAGCCACATCCAGTAGACATTTAACTCCGTTTTACCTGTAGTCAAATTAAGTGGAACCCAGGTTTGTAAATGGAGAGGCTGATGCATCTAGCTCACTGCACCACCACTTAGTTTCAGTTACACCGCTGCCCCCCCAGGTGCAGAGAATCAGTATGAATCACTTAGAACTCTTCCCCTCTCTCCCCCACTTTTGAAAGAAACCACAAGGATTTCTGTCAGAAGCACATGGCTACATGAGACACCTGCCAGACATGCTGAATATGAAACTGCTTCGGCCCAGCTTAAATAAGGTGCAGGGTCAAGCCTTGGCTAACCAGGGAACATGCAGGGGCAGCAGCACAGGGAATGAAACACTGACTGTAGTGGTGGGAGGTTAATGTTCTCTTTTGTGCAGGGCCTGAGCTCCCTGCCAGCCCCTTCCTCTCTCAGTGAGGACTGTATTTTGAACAGCCATGTTTGTCTGGGCCAGGGAAGGAGTCATTGAAGGGATCTTGCTATTGCACCAGTACTCAGCAGGTACAGCCCCAGCTCTGGCTCACTGGAGCTGCCCTACCTAAGGGCTTGTCTACACTTACAGCGCTGCCTTAGGTCATGTCTGCACTTACACGCTTACAGCAGCCCAGCTGTGCCACTAGAAGAGTGCTCGTGTAGCCAAGTTAGGCCGAAGGGTGAGAGCTCTCCTGTCGACATAATAAAACCAACTCAACGAGCGGCAGTAGCTATGTCGGCAAGAGAGCATCTTTTGCCGACATAGCCCTATGCACACGAGCACTTATGCTGGTAAAATTTATGTCGCTCAGGGGGATGTTTTTTCATCCCCCTTAGCAACAAACATTTTGCTGACGTAAGTGCTAGTGTAGACATGGCCTTTGTGAAAATATTACCTATACCAACAGGAGAGCTTCTCCCATTGGCGAAGCTACTCCACCTCCCCAAGAGGCTGGCTACCCCCTGAGTGACCTTGTTATACCAACGTAAGACGGTAGTGTAGACCTGGCCTAACAGATGCTCTCCTTGGCCAAAAGTTCAAAGCTATTCATAAACAGGGCTAATGCCAATGACTATGTTCTTGTCATGAGTCAGTGTCGGACATCACCCTCTCCTACACACGCTATACAACCCTTCAGAAGACAGTACTTACAACATGGCTCCAGGGTTATGCAGAATGGACCCTCCAGTAGGTCTGAAGTTCTACACAACGGATGCAAGAGAGAAATTAAGTCACTTAAAATCTGACATAAGGAAAAAAAATACAATCAAAGATTTGTCAGGATGTTCTGACAAAGTGCAGCTGAGACTCATGTTTACTGCTGTATACAGGGAGACAGTGGTTTGATATCAAGAAACATGGGCAGGTGCATGCATAGAAGTTAAGAGTAAACAAAAGGCAGAGCCAAAAGAGCCTCTAGCATCTGGTCTCTCCCTGCCCCTTACGAGGACATGAATTCTCTAAGTTTGTTGGGTCCAGTCTGGCCCAGTTTCAGTTTACCTAAATCAGCTCACACAGAAGATCCAGAGTAATAGTCCCAGAAAAGAATCCATTGCTATGCAGGGTTTGCATCCAAAAACCTAGCACCAGGGAGAACCTCAGAGTGAAACTCACTAGAAACTACTTATAAACCAAATGAAACTGACTAGCCTGATTTCCACTGTCCAAGCTGAGAAATCCAAGTGACCAAGCAACTTCATGAAAATGAAATTAACTCTTTACAATTCCTTTGGTTTAAATAATCTAAGATGTATTTGTAACACAGATAAGGGATTTTTATTAGAAAAATATTCATTAACTTGACTGTGTCCCTTTAACACTATAAAGGAATTGACCCAAATATATTTTTTAAAATAAAATATCATGCGGGTAAATTTAGTGATGACTCCCTCTGGGGCTCACTCAAATAGCTCCATCTTTGCTAAATCATTATTCCCAAACCTAGGTTTGCATTTCCAGGAAGACCAGGTGTTCTGGTTGCATCCTGACCTAATTCAAGGTACCTAACACTAAACACACTCATCCCATGCTCTGGAAATCTCACCACATCACGTCATGAGGTGTCAGCATCATCCAAGGAACTGAGAACTCGTCTTTTTAGCCCATATCTCCCCTGACTGGGAAAGGTGAATAAAGGAGACTACCTTGGTGGAATTGGGCTGCAGTGCATGGAGCTGGTAGACAGTCAAACACAGCTTATTTAGGTTGATGTAGAAATTCACAAGGATGTCCGAGGGCAGAGCGGGGGTGAACATTTTCTGTGAGAAAATGGAAATGATTTCTGCATCAGTGACAGGACCCTCTGTTTCTATAGCTAGGGGAATACTACCGTAGAGTCTCTCTCTTTTTTTTTTTTTAAATGGAAGAGAGAGACAGAGAGACGTTAAGAGTTTTAGGTAAAGGAGAAAAGCTATGTTTTACAGGGAGACTGGAATAGGGACGTGACCATACATGATGGCCATTTCTCTTGTTGCACCTGACCTCTAGACAGCTCTTGCACCAACACTGTGTAAGGGAACAGAAGAGACAAGGGTTAGACTCCATAGTTAGTCCCTCTTTAGAGTTTTGCTCTGGAGAAGCCCAGTTGACAAAGCCAAAACTCTTTCTCCTGGCTGAGGGCTCTTTAAGCCCAGGTCTGAGCAGAGAAAGGTAGACCAACCACCAATACTGAGCACAGGGTCTACATCTGCTTCCAGACAATGGAAGTTATACAAGACTAAAAAGGAGATTCTCTTATACTGTGTCCGACAAGGATAGATTAGAAACAGCAAACCATGTCCCCATCATGGAGGGGCATGATAGCCCTCACTAGTGGGTAGAGAGAGGGAGCGGGCAGTATAGACCAAGACTGATATAAGGTTACCGTAAGGCCACTGGAGGCAATTTCTGGTAGGGTCAAGGAGGCTGGAGTAGTGAGCCGGTTCCGAGCTCGTGTCAGCTGTAACATCACCGCATCCATCAGCTAGGAAAGAAAACACATATTCCTGTCTGAAGGCCATGATGCAGCTTTGGAGGGCGAGCTGAAGAGCCTGCGTAACACGCATGAGTTGCTACAGGGGAAACTGCATCAAGACATGGCGTCAACTCTACACACATGCTCCCACCCGAGGCTCAAACAGAAGCAAGCAGCTCTCGCTCAGACCCCTAGAGAGCAAAGCCCTCTTCAGGTTACTCATGGGCAGGCATGTTCTGTCAACTGCATATCCCTGCTGATGTTCCCAACAAAACCACAACAGCCTAATTGGCATCACTCTAATGCTCTGTCAATGACTTACTGTCACTGGGAGAAGGTTCCAGATCAGAAAGTGCTGATGTTTCATATAAGAGCTTCTGCTTTTCTACGGGATCTGCCATTGGAAGAGCTTGGAGCTCCTGGATATTCTGTTACTCTGAATTCTAATCAAGTAGCTTGCTTTAAAGAAAGTCACTCATGCTACAGACCTCTCCTGGCATCTTTACAATGAGACCAAGCATGATTTGCTCTGCAAATTCTTCTAAACAGCAGAAGGTATTTGCATCCGAGTCACCTCCCTCCCAGGTTGTCTCCCTCCCCACCCCCCGACCTACATGATCCCACTGTGAAATCTTCACTCTAAATTTACACCCTACTTGGCAACAGGGTTAGAAACAAAATGAACCTGCTCAAGCTGGGCAGGGAGAGAGACTGTATTGCTATAAGAAAAGAGGAGCAGGAATTCAGAGACTTAAACTGGGAAAGAAAATTGCTGTTTATAAGTGTAATTTGGCTGGCGAAAATGTACCACTGTCATGCAGCCTTACATAAAAAGCACAAGAATGTTTTCAGAAGTGTCAGCCCACATTCCTTCACCCCACTTTACCCCTCTTCAGGATAAGTCACCTCCAACTCCAGCTAAAAAAAAAAAAAAGCCCATTGTGCCTTATGTAAGAAACAGCAGAGAAAACAATTTAAAGATTTTAAGTGCTGACAGTCATAGAGGGATCTAAAGACACTGAAAGCTCTTCTAGAAGCTTTACATACAAAAGAAGATAAAAATGTTGCCTAATTGCTCTGATGGGCTCCAATCTTGCATGTGCAGAACTTTAGTCATGTGAGTCATCACATGAATGTCAATGAAACTACTCACGTGAATGAAGTTATGCACACTCTTGAGTATTTGTGGACTGGGGCCGTAAATGAGCAAGCTCTTTCCTATAAGTCTGTGACAGTAGTGGCTTTTTCACCTGGCAGGAATACTGCATCTTGAAGGAGAATTTCCTCAGATATAGTCCCTATTTTGGGAAGAATGCCCAACCCAGAATTCTGGGGGAGCTGTGTTCATCTGCTACAGAGCTCATGTTTCAGAGTAGCAGCCGTGTTAGTCTGTATTCGCAAAAAGAAAAGGAGTACTTGTGGCACCTTAGAGACTAACCAATTTATTTGAGCATAAGCTTTCGGAGTGAGCTGTAGCTCACGAAAGCTTATGCTCAAATAAATTGGTTAGTCTCTAAGGTGCCACAAGTACTCCTTTTCTTTTTACAGAGCTCATGACTACTAGAACGTTAAGGCACTCTGAACTATGACTCATCATCTTCCCAGGGGGAAGAAAAAGGGGGGTGGTCTTATTTGCTGATCTTTTCCTGTTTGATTGCCTTTGCCCAAGTAAAAACGGAACAGGCTTTTCTTTCTCACACTTGATGTGGTGAGAAGTTAGTCAACTTGTCCAGTGGCTCGGACGGTAGCCAGGGACCTGGGTTTAAGTCCCTGCACTACCAAAGACTCCTTGTGTGACCAGTCTCTGCAGAGATTTCAACTCAGTACAAAAAAACCCAACACCGAGCAGCTGCATTAAAAAGAGGGGAGAAATGTGGAATTGGAGTCTATCCTCTTACCCCACCTCCCAGAGAGCGTTCTGCTCACCTTGAGGACCTCAGAGCCTGTTTTGAACTGGTAGTTTACATCTCGGTTTGTGAGCAGGTAAATTGCTTGGTTAACGTGGTTTCTAGCATCCTGGATCTGCAAAGGTACAAAATACAGCCCTGTCAAATCAGCTCCCCCTGAACTAATGCTAAAAAGTAGACTATCCCACTGTTGTCTCCCAGGATCCATCCCTTACCACTGCACAGACAGGAAAGAAAATGTTGATCATCCCATAACACTAAAGGCATTTTCTTCTGGGCACTCGGCACTCACCACTAAAGCAAGCTGTTACCTCTGCCATTAAGATCATAAAATGATTGATCTACCAGACCAGGCATTTTAAGAAACAATGATCTGAAGTCTGGGGCCTGCTATTTTATGTCCTGGACCATCAAACTAGCACTGATGGTTTGAAGGAGCAGTGATGTCAGGTAGTAAGACCTCGTGAGCAATCAGGGCCAGAAACAAAAGTGATACATTGCTATCCAGCTAGGCATTCCCACTGTCCAGGATATAGGGCATTCAGAGCACATTCTGGTTACTGTCTTTGTCCAGTCTCCCCATCTTCAGCTGTGATCTGATTACAGTGGCTGCTCTTAAGAATCATTGCCATAGAGCTAAAATCAATACAACATCTGAATACTTTAAAAGAACACGAAGCACTGATTTCTAACTTTAAGGTTCATTGGAACAGTGGATTACCAACACTCTAGAGTAGCTGCTGCAGCATTTGGGTGCAGGGGAACATATCACTGGGGCTGGCCTCTTGAGCAACCTTTCATAGAATAGACCTGAGGCACATCTAGCATGAACCCCTGTGAACCAAGAGAGACTGCAGCATATGGTCCGTTAACAGAGCAATCCTGCCAGAGCTGCCCATAATAGGAGTGAGGAAAAACTCCAAAGGCAAAGAAAGGGTTCACTGGCAGAGGGGAAGAGCAGAGGAGCATCTCCAAGTGGGGGTGAGACTCAGACACTCAGCACCAGAGGCTGGTGTGGGAGCTGGAACAGAGGAAGGCATTAATGAACGCGGAGGATGAACACAGAAAAGGTAGGCACAACTTAGGGTAAGAGGCAGTCGGTGTGTACAAAAAAGCACTTGAACGAGTTTAGAGCAGGATGCTGTGAAGGGCATGTTTCGCTAGGGTTTTCAAACAAGTTCTAAGTGCCAGTTGCAAATGTAACAGTGAAACAGATAGACACAGCTTTGGACACTTTGTTCATGGGAAGCTTGTAGTCTGAAGCTTCCTTTCTCCCCCATATCTCGGCACAAGTCTCCCATGCTGAACTGAACCTTACCTAGTGCAGGCCCTGGATAGATATATGAGAAAAGCTCTTGTATGACTTGCACTTGCTTCCCCAGAGCACGCAGCTCAGAAGTCTCAGTAGGAGTCTTGTGACTCAGAGGAGGGTGTCTTTAGATGGAGGAAACCTGTCCAGTGCAAAACCACCATTATGCTGCAAGCAGCTGGCGGCTCAGATACCGCTGGCACTCGTGACATGGCATCACAGGACACTACCCTGCAGATCCCCCACCTCCAGGAACATTCCAGAACAACAGACTTGGGAGCAGCTTATGCCACTAGCCGCTGCAGTGACATGCACCATCCACCTTGTCAATACAAGGACTCCGCTCATCCCTGCCTCCTCTGTCAGACCTGTTTTCCTTCTCTATTCCACTTCCCCGAAGGCTTCCCAGCCCTTTCCCTGTTCAAGTAACAACTACCTTCCCCTCCACAACCAGCTCCCGCTTCTGGTTCCTTTCCAAGCAGACTCACAGCACTTCCTCTGATTGGCAAGACCCACTCCCTCATGGAAGAGACTCATGATATTTCACTATGGGAGGCTTATTCTGAGAGAAACAGGACAAGGGTCCCCTCATAATCTCATGAAATACTATTATTCTGCCTCCTTTAGGCTCTCGCATTCCTCATCTAAATAACTTTAAAAGACCAAGTCCTTCCAAAGTAAATGAAGGCAGGAGCTGTACTTAAGAGACGGTGGAAGAATATCAATAGAGCAGCAATACAAAAAAGAGTCACTATATGTCGGAAACACTGCTGAGCGCATCACAAAAGCTCACTTGTCTGCAAAGCACAAACTCCTCAACATAGCCATAAGTTTCAGTGACTCAAAGCCCAAATCAACAGAGGGTTTGATTCACCTACCACAGAGTCTAAACATGGCAATTGGCTAACATGTTTAAAATGCCAGTAAATTAGAGCTCTCAATCTGTTGTAGACCGATGTGTCCAACAAACTACCAAAATCCAAATATGCTTATAAAAAAAAAAATCCAAGACAATGTATAAGGATCTACATAGCATAGAACCCCAGAGTCAGTTTTTAAACTTCAATGGTGGAAAACTTTACTTCTATGAGACTGAACACTAGATTTCCAGAAGCCAGATCTCCGACTGAAGAATTCAGATATAGCTAGAGTCTGAGGCACTGGCATATGCTGTTAGTGAGGAGAAGGGAGAAGACATGATTTCATACAGGGAATGAGAGCAGACTTGTGAGCCAGCTCAGGGCCAGATGAACTGTTCTCTGTTCAGCCAGCCAAGATTCAACAGGCATTGAGAGAGAGAGCTACAGCCCAGGTGCTCTGAGCACTCCTTTCACAGGCTCAGCACTCCAACCCAGAGAGCTTTGAGCTCATTGATGTCTCAGGAACTAGAAGCACCCACCCTTTTTCTTCTAACGCCCTAATCCCAACTAGTTCACACCTCTGCCCCCTCCTCTATCACACTCCAACTGATAAGGAAAGGAAGGTGGGTACTGGGGTCTGGAGAACCCCAATGAAGACCAGTCCTTTTCTCTTTGAAAGAGAGGGCCTTTGCAGGCTGCTCAGACTCAGACCAGCTCAACACAGGGAAGACTCCTGATAACCATACCTGCTGCAATTTCCACTGCTTGTCTTCGCGGAATGTGAAGTGCAGGAGCTGGTTATTTCTGGGCATTTTCAAATTAATATCCTTTAAGAGAGAGAGAGAGAGAGAGAAATAAGAGGAACTCCCCCACAAAACGCAGAGCAGGGCACCCCCTGAACAAAAGGTGCTGTGCATACCCCTTCAAACCCATCCATCTCATTTCCGACAGATCCATCCACACTGACTGCTGAGTGGGGGCATTTTGAGCAGTACTGGTTCAGCCAGTTTTTCACCTTAATCTTTTTTCTACAGGAGGGAGACGCAAGGCATAAATGACAACGCCGTTACTGAACTGGGCCCAGAGAGGAGACTGCCAGTTCATTTCAGGAGGTGGTGAGGGAACTCTGATGGTACAGATAAGGGGCAACGTAGGTGAGACGCCCGTCAGCTAAGATGGGTCTATCGCAGTACACGTGACAGTTAAGCCCTCTACCTACCTACCATAGGGTTACAATATTGCAAACACGAATGGTATTTCACTCGGTCATCATAAATAATGAACTGTCCCAGGTGAGTAAGTGACAGTTTTGGAAGGCTGAGTTAAAACAGATCTAAGACTATACACCATGCATATTAAGACTGGACTGCAGCTAACCAAGGTGCCACTCCCTAACTGGGAGAGAAAACACACCCCAGCAGGATAGCACACACATGTACGGACAGAATCTTCCTCCTCCTCATCCCTGCACTCAGATTTTTTTAGATACAGATTTCAACCCTTGGCATCATGTCCCAGCAGCATGTCAGCTATGCAAGAAGTGCCTTGTACAGCCACAGACTTGGCTGCATCTTCATTCAGTTGCATGGCAGTGTTCGGCTGGCACCAGAGCCTATTGTAAAACCAACCAAAGCAATGGCGAGATGCAATCACTGTGGTACCGAGGTGCCATCACTAGACAGCAACCAGCCAATCACCACCACAGAGGGCAGCTCCATTCCCAATGGGCTTGACACACCTCCCCGCTTGTTGACATCTGAAGGGACAAGGTCTAGCAGGGAAAGAAAGGCAAGGAGTACGCTTCAGTGCTAGCACAAAGTGATTGGTGTGGATTGGTACTCACAGCTTGGCATAGAGCATCTCCCTGCAGCATCAATACTCCTTTCACCTGGTCTGCGCTGGAATGACAAAACAGTTCCAACCAGTGAGAGTCACAGGAGACAGCCTACCGAGACCGGTACAGAAGCAGCCAGCCTCTCACCCCCAGCAAGAACAGGGGACCAGCCTCCACCCTTACCAACCAAAATGCAACACAGCAGAGGGCAGAGAGGACCTTCCCCACTCCCAGGTGGGTACACAGGAGCTCCCCAGTGCTGGTCCTAGTATGTCCTGTGGACAGCTCAGCTAGGGAGATGCATTCTCACCACCTACTCTTAGGTCAAGCCTCCTGCCAGCAACTGTAATATTGCTTGAGAGATGCTCCCTTGTGTAACTGACTTGTTAGAGCACTAAGGTCCCATCCTAAACTATTTTCCTCCCTGTATTAACAATCCACACACTGTTCACCATTTAAACATTAGAGTTCTGGCACTAACAGCGTGGATGCAAATCACAAACTAGGTTATAATCTGACATTGTGTACGCTTTCTGCTTATGCCATAGAGGAAGTTGAAGAGTGGTGCTGGGCAACTGGTCACCTTCAGCAAAGGTCCCACCTTTTCAACAATCCTGTTACATGTTTATATGAAACAATGACTGGAAACTAAAGTATCTGGGCTTTGAGGACTCCAATTTATGAGCCCATCTCATTTAACACAGACACCATGATCTCACTGACCTCCCACCATCTGACAAAGACAAACCTGTTGCAGTTCAACTCAAAGTAGATTGAAGTGATAGAAGAGAGAAACATCAGGAGGAATGGACAGAGACAATCTCTGCACACACAGATTTTCCCCCTTGGATACCAGAATCCCTTGCTCCACAGCTGCTCAGAACTTTTGTGGAAGCATGTTTCACTGTCTACTGTGTAACTCTACAGAAGTAGAGCTGGACTGGAGGCTCAGAAACAGTGACTATTTCAGATGCAGTTTAGTAGTAACCGCATTTATATAGCGCCTTTCATCCAGATCTCACACTGCTTTGTGAGGTGGGTAAACGTTATTCCTATTTTACATTTTGGGAGACTAACACACAGAGGTTAAGGAACTTGCCCAAGGCCACACACAGAGTCAGCAGCAGAGCCAAGAACAGACTTCAGATTCCTTGAGCCCAGGTCTCCAGCTGTAAGCACTAGACAGAGACTCCTCATTATTCACACATTGAGCATGGTCAGAACTGATCTAACTATTCAGCAGTGATGTAATGAATCAGAATATGACCAGGAAAACCACCTGGTGATTCCACTAAAGAATCAAACAGGAAATTCGTAAAGTCTAAAATGTGATCCATTTAAAAAGTACTTTCATCTGATGGGAAGCATCTAATTTTACTTAAGCCTACCACAGGAGTGATTTTTTTGAGAGCACTATTCTTATGGGATCAAAGAAATGAACTTCCCATCCTGTATGTACATTACCAAAGATGCTAATGCATATAGAGTAAACAAGGACAGGTATGTGTATTTTAACAGGCAAATACAATTAATGTTTGATAAAATGGCAAGAAAGCAGAACAGATGGGAAAGTCGAGTGTTCTTTCTTTAGAAGGTTATTAAACAATGATTAAATGAGCATTGGCTAACTGCCTTTTACAACACAAACAGCAAAATATCAGGCTTTCCTCAGAGCGACAGTCTCTTTTTTAAAGGGCTGGAAATTTACAGCAGTAAAGGTTCAAATAATGAAATTATGGCTGAACATTTCAACATCTATTTAGAAGCAGATATTCAGCTATCGACCCAACCACTCAACTGTGGGAGTAACACAGTACAACATTTAAATTGGGATTTACAGAGCAGAGAGTGGGTAGCTCCCAGCTACAGCTGTCCGATAGGGGCTCTTATCTTAGCCTTGAACTGCTGCTTTTCTAAATACCACTGCATTCAGATCTCCACGTTTGTTATCTAACAAAGCAGATGAAATGGGGGAGGGAGGAAGATGTGACATGCAAATGATTAAAGTAAGCTAGGAGAGCAGCAAGCGAGAAGAGACAAATAATGCCAAACTGTCACAGACGTTGTAGGAAACGAGTTAAAATTGTGCACCAAAGTAAATCAGCTTCTGCGCTCTGCAAGCCAGGCACCTGGGTCACTACAAGGTGGATGTGCTCAACTATGGAAGTGTGCTAGCGTCTCCAGATGTTAAATGGGTGATAGCAACAACAGGAGAATCTGTGTAAAATGGGAGCGAATTGCCTCAGTCCTCCACATCCTTCCCCCTCCTTTCCTACGCAAGGAGGATCCCAAGACCAAACGTGCACAGGGAGAACACACACTTACCTTGAAGTGCCCAGCATGAAGTTCTCCTGTTTGACTGGTCCTTCTGTGCTACCAACAGGCAAAGCAAACCTGTGAGAAGCCTCCTGCACAAGAGCAAAGGGAACTGACACTGTGACAGAGTGACATAATTCTGCAATATCCTGGACAAACCTTATGGGATTAAGATTAACTTTATTGAATTAGGTTTAAACCTTTGAGGTCCCTTGTATTAAAAATGCAATTGTGTAGGTGTTATTGTGGCATTGTATGCAACTCCTCTAGGAGGAGAGGGATGCTGATGTAAAGCCACTTCTAGAGAGGTGCAAATATGCTCGTTCAAACTGGATTCTCCAGGGACCACCAGACCAAGAAATAATTTTTGGATAAACAGCCTTGTTTTAAACCGGCTCAGTGCCTTCTTCCTGATCAAATAAACAGACAAGTCCCTTGGTCCAAGAAGGGACCCAATCCTTAGGGAAGGGTTGGAAGGACTGGGTCCCATAAGACTGTGGTCTTGTTCTGAGCTGAAGCTGTGATGAACTTGAAACCACAAGGAAACCCCTTGAGTGGGGTTTTAAAGGACTGCTCCTGCCAGAGCTCATGTTAGGGTTGGGGGGTCCTCTAGTTAGCTTATTAGTATGCGTGTAGGGGTGGTGGTGTTTTTTGTTTTTGTTTTTAATATATTTTCTCTGGGGATAAAGAGAGGTCTCTGCTCTCCAGGGCTGTCACCCCAGCATTGTGTTCACACAGAACAAAACAGCAACCAGAAAAAAGCAACTGAAAAGGCAAATTCCCCATGCATGGCTGGAACTGGCTCGTTACCTTCAGAATATCCTGCAGCTGTCTCAGGACACCATGAACCTCCTCTTGCAAAAGCCATTTAAACTCTTCTTCCTATAGCCATAGAAAGACAAAACAGGAATCATCTACGAGAGAGTCCCTTGGGGCTTTCACAGGATCCTTGATCTTAATTTCTTTCCAAGGCACAGAAGCACATACACCATGGAGAACAAGTTTACTGGTATGTGCAGGTGGAAATATAACAAGAGGAAAGGTAGGCAGTTTTTGACTGAATTGTTCAAAGGAGTTATTTTCTCTACCTCTCCATGCTGCCTATATCCCCTTTCAAAATATCTTGCCTTGACTCCACTGAGCAAATGTTTATTTATTTAGAACATTATATGAATAATAGTGGTGGTAGGTGGCCATGTGCTGCTGGAGGTATCCATTTCAGATGAAGCATAAAGCCCAGATCCTGCCTCCTTGAAAACTCTGGGGCTGTTCTAGCCTGGTTCTTATACTGGTCTCATCCACATAGTTTACCAAACAGCAGCTTAATTAGGAAAGAACCCAAAATAAATTCAGTTGAGGGGACGGGACTGTTTGCACAAATTCAGTAATAAACAAGTTCAGATCTGATGGGACAACTTCTCAGCTGACCTCAACTAGCTGTCTGCTATGGAGAAAGCCTGTGAAAACCAGATCCTGAAGCTGCAAACCTGAAGTATTCGTATAAGAACACCCTTGGTCAAAAGAACACCAAAGGCAGTAGGTGTGCGTGCGTTGTGGGGAGGATTACTTTCAACACAGCGAAGTAGGGAAGGACAACCCCATTTTTCAGATGGGAACAGTGTCACAGGGTAAATAAGTGTCTTGCCCAAGGTGTCACAGGCAAAGTGTGGCTGGGAGTCAGGTCTCTCAAATCCCAGTCTAGTCCAGTGGCCTAACCACTATACCATTCCTACCAATGTGTACTAGGAGAAGTGTTAGCAAATATGTGGATTTTCGCCTAGCTCTTTTCACATGAGATGGAAATGTCCTGCTGGCAAACCCCTTTTGAATGAGGGCTAGGACAAAGATGTTGGTTATAACACTCGTTAACCTGCCAGATGTGCCTATTGGGTGCACATCTGGATAAGATTCCATTTCATAAAATACCTGTTAACCACTAAGTGCCGACGAAAGATTGAGATATGTTACAGCAGGAATCTGGCGGGAACCAATGAGAGGTTTGATCCTTTGGTGGAATCAGGTTTGGGAGTTTGCTAGAATGAGGGCGCTTACAGCAAGTCAAACATGATATGGATCCAATCCAGAGAATCAGACAGTTCCTCTCTGAGTACATCTCCTTAGAAAGAGTCTTCATAAAACCACTGAACACATTAAATGTTTAAAAGAAAAACCTTTCAGCTCTTAAGAACAGTCAATTCTGTGGTGGTAAAAGGTTCCATTTGTGGGGAGAGTAGGCAAAGAGATTCACTGCAACATGAAGGACTTTCCCCAAAGACTAGAGGATGGCAGCTTTGCCCTCCTTTCATTTGGTGCCCGCACACTCCCTCTCCCCAATACCATCAGCTATAAAAAAAAATAGCTGTTACTAAACTTTCGTAACTGTTGTTCTTTGAAATTGTGTTGCATGTTTCCATTCCACTCTAGGTGTGTGTGAGCCCTGCGCAAAGTCACTGAATTTTTTCCCCCTCATTGGATGCATTGGGGCAGCTTAAGCACCCTCTGCTGCTGTGTGCCATTAGCACCAGCATAAAGCGTCCAGCAGACCCCGTGCCCCCTCCTCAGTTCCTTCTTTCTGGAAAACTCCAATGTAGAGGGGTAGAAAGTCGGGTCAAGCACTGGATGTTCAAAACATCTTGAAGAACAACAGTTACGAAAGGTTACTAACTGTTTTTTCTTTGAGTGACTGCACATGTGATTCCAACCAAGGTGACTCCCAAGTAGTTAAGTAGGAGGAGGGATTTGGGTTCATGTACACAGGCTGCAGTACAGCTTGACCAAGTTTGGCATCATCTCCTGAATGCGAAGTCATGGTGTAATTGGAGGAGAACGTGTGCTCCACTGACCAGGTTGCTTCTTTACAATCTGTACTAAAAATGCTGTTGAGGATGCTTGCGATCTTGTGGAATGAGCAGTCAGGTTAGTTGGTGGCAAAACACCTGCCTGAGCTTAACATTTGCGAATACATGACGACATCCAGGGCAAAGCTGTCTGAAGAAACTGGGAGACCTTTCATCCTGTCCGCTACAGCCACAAACAGGTAGTTGGGTGGACCACCAGAATGGTTTAGTTCTTTCTATGTAGAAAGTTAGAGCTCATCTAACATCCAGTAAGTGAAGACGTTGTTCACTCTTATTTGCATGAGGTTTCAGGTAAAAGACAGGTAGGTAAATTGCCTAATTGCTATGAAATTGTGAAACCACTTTCGGGAGGAAACTGGGGTGAGGATGTAAATACACCTTACCTATAAAGAAGACTGTGTGTACAGTGGCTTCAATGTGAGGGCATGGAGTTCAGAGACTCTTTGGGCCGAAGTGATGGCAATTAAGAAAACCACCTCCCAGGAGAGGTATAACAAAGAGCACGTTGCTAAAGGCTCAAAACAATGGACCCATAAGTTTTGACAAGACCAGGATCAGGTCCCAAGGGGGAACGGGCTCCCTTACTTGAGGCCTTTGAGGAATCTGACTGACATGTCATTTGAAAAGCAGACTGGTTATCCACCCTCAGGAGGAAAGTTAATATTGCTGCCAAGTGAACCTTGATAGAAGATGTTGCTAAACCTTACTGTTTCAAGTGCGATAATGTTTTGGATGGATGAACGCGTGGGTGAGACTCTGGATTGGGATGCCCAGACTTAGAACAACTTCAATTTTGAGAGGTAAGTAGCCCTGATGAAGGGCTCTCTATTTTCTAGTAGGACTGGGCGAACTTGCTCTGAGCAGCCTGCTCTCTGGGATTTAGCCATGGAGCTTCCAGGCCATTAAATGAAAAGAACTCAGGTTTGGGTGGAGCAGCCGACCATGCTCCTGAGAGATCACGTCCAGGTACAATGAGAGTGGGACTGGAGTTGCCATTGAGAGGTCTAGCAGAGTAGAGAACCAGTGTTGGCAGGGCCATGCTGGGGCTATCAGAATAATCTGGACCTGGTCCCGCTTGATCTTTAGCAGCGCTCTGTGTAAGAGTGGGATTGGGGGGGAAAGTATAATAAAGCTGTCCCGTCCAAGGTAGCAGGAAGGCGTCTGTGATGGAACCTGGACTGTGACCTCATTGGGAGCAGAGTTCGGAACAACAGAAGGAGTCACAAAAAGAGCAAGGCTCCTTGAAAGGGTACATCCTGAACAGTCTGTTGGACCTCCTGCGGGAGCTCAGAGGACTGTAACCGTGAACTCTTGTGCAAGGCAACTGCCGAAGCCATGGACCTGGCAGCTGAGTCAGCCGCATCCAGAACAGCCTGTAAAGAGGTCCTTGCCAACGATTTTTCCCTCGTCCACTAGCAAGGAGAACTCTTGCGGGAGTCCCACATGTTAAAATCAGACCTGCCCAGCAGCACCTGCTGGTTTGCAATTCTGAGTTGTAACCTCCCCGGTAGAATAAAGTTTCCTACTGAACAGGTCTAATTTCTTTGAGTCCTGAATTGATCCTGTCTCTCTCTCTTACTGGCACCAGATACTCCCAGGGATTACAGGGGGACAGGTTTAAAGGAACTCATAACCTTGGGTGGGAACATAATATTTTCTTTCACCCCTTTTTGAAGTAGGCAGGAAGGGATGTGGGGGTCTGCCACAGAGTCTTAACTGGTCCATAATGGCCTCATTGAGAGGCAGAACTATTTTAGAAGGGCTAAAATGTCAACCAGGCTGTGGGAGAACTCTTTTACTACCTCCATTTGTACGCTCAGAATCAAGGCCACCATCTTTAACAACTCTTGGTGAGTCTTATAATCACCCAGGGGAGGCGACATGCCCCTTCTTGGGACTGTTTTATCAGGGGAGGAGGCCAGCACTGGCTGTGGGTGCTCTTCTTCCCTTTCTTCATCAGCAGGATCCCGCTGAACTGGCTCTTTGAGTTTGATACTGGGCTTGGTACCGGAGTCCAGACTGGGTGCCACCCAATAGGACAATGCTACCCATCTTTCAGAGGCCACTGAATAGCAGCACCTGGAATATGCCTGGGAAACTGGGGGAAAACCCCCATAGGTTCCAAAAGGGCCACTGGACTGGTGTAGGTCCCGAGTGATCTCCTGACCAACCACTCAATGGTACTCCTGTGCCCAAATCCATGGAAGGGTGGAAATGTCTAGAGGATTAACAAGAACGGCGGCTTCAAGGAGGGGAAGAGTAAGACCTGATCTCCGATTCTGAAGAGGATGAGACTCTCTGGGTACCACAGAGGTGCAGTTCCCAACCATTCCAGAGATCAGTGACAGGGTGGAGAGGTCTGCACTGAGGCAAGCACTGCAGGTTTCCCTTCTGACGATACTGTGCCCTTCACATTGAAATGACCCAGCTGGTTCACTCCTGTTCACCAATACCAATAATAGCAGTACACCAGTACCAGTAACAGCGCACAGTCAATCTGTGGAACTCCTTGCCTGAGGGGGTTGTGAAGGCAAGGACTATAACAGGGTTTAAAAGAGAACTAGATAAATTCATGGAGGTTAAGTCCATTCATGTCTATTAGCCAGGATGGGTAAGGAATGGTATCCCTAGCCTCTGTCTGTCAGAGGGTAGAGATGGATGGCAGGAGAGAGATCACTTGATCATTACCTGTTAGGATCACTCCCTCTGGAGCACCTGGGATTGGCCACTGTCGACAGACAGGATACTGGGCTGGATGGACCTTTGGTCTGACCCAGCATGGCCATTCTTATGTTCTTATGACTCTTGTACTGCCGACGATATCGGTACCGACAGCGAGAGAAGGTCCCTGACAGCTACAAATGCTTCCGGTGTGGTCGGGACCAAAATAGTGTCGGTACTGCACAGTGCCACCAATACAGAAGCTCTTCTGGCAACAGACTCAATGGTGCCTACGTAGGTGCCAGAATCAACGGTGCCAGCTTCTATGGATCTGAGGTAGAGTAGTGCTTTGATTTAGATCGC